CCCCCCCGCAGGGCTTTCATATCCCTACCCCAGCCTTTGTTCCTTCTCTGACATGGAGCAGGGCAGCCCCTACATTTACATCTAGTCTTTCTACAAGTTCAAGGCAGCATATAATGAAATGACAGAGAACATGCTGTTCGACAACAGGAAGCAACAGCAGCTTTTTACCTTTGTAGTCTGACAACTTTATTTCCTTGAAGGCTCCATCCACCACTGCTGTGGCACTGAAGTTTGGAGCTGGCTTCCCAATATGAGCATTACCAGAAGACATTTTCTGAAACATCGAACATAATGTTTAGCAGGGCTACTAGAGCCAAGAAACAAAGAATTGCAGAGAAACCATACCATATATAAATTCAAAATTATTGAAATATAATGTAAAAAGACGCTGAAACGAGTTCCTGACCTTATGGATTTGATCACCACCCAAATCTTATATACATTTCAAAGGCAGGAATAGTAAAAATAGTGTACATGTATAAATAAATACAAAATACCCATTTACAAAGCAAAGACCAAACACATTTCAACGCCTGCCTTCCTCAGTGACTAATACTAGAGCCAGCATGGTACAGTGGTTCGAGACTCAAGTTCAAACCCCCACTCTGCTGTGAAGTTCACTTGGTGACCATGAGCCAATGAACCTCTTTCAGCTTACCTTACAGATTTGTTCTGAGGAGAAAATGGAGGAGGAGAGAATAATGTATGTTACATTGAATTCCCTGGAAGAAGGGCAGAGTAAAAAATGAACTAAGTATATTAGCCGTTGAGCTACCACTATGGAATATGCCAAGGGTCTCCAACCTTTTTGAGCCAGCAGGTACCACTGGAATTCTAACACAATATGGTGAGCTGAACCACAAAATGGCTGCCACTGCTTACCTTCAGTCACACAGTGAAGGTACTTGTGCTGTGGGGGTAGCTGCTGCCAAAGCAACATTTTAAAAAATCTGTACAACTAGTCAAATCTACACTGGCCAATCAGAAGCCTTGCTAGGCAAACCTGGCCTTACCCACTTTCTAAAAGCACTTGGAAGGCATCAGAAAAGGTGTTGGTGGGCACCATGTCACTAGGCTTGCCAAGTCCCCCCAGGGGGCAGGGAAATCCCCGCCCAAGAGGTCCGTTACCCGCCACTGGCGGATCGTGCCCCGGGTGGAACCCCACCCCCAAAGCACGCGACATGCCCGGCGTCAGCACATCACCCAGAATGACGCAGTCGCGTTGGGGGCAAGGCTGCGGTCATCCGAGGGAAAACTCTATGGTTTTCCCTTGGATGATTGTGGCCCCGCCCCCAGCATGCCCGACATGGTTGCATCACTTCCTGGTGATGTAATTGCGGCACGCGCGCGCATGAACTCTCGGAGCAGCACTGGACTCCTCCGCTATACCTACGGTAAGGACTTGGCAACCCTACATGTCACCCATGGGCACCACATCACCCATGGGCACCACACTGGGGACCAATGTTCCCTCTAAACTGTGGAGTCTTGTGAGCAAAAATTCTACTTGGTGAGTGACTGGCATTAAAGTTGTGAGTGAGTGATTTGGCCACTGCATAAATTAGTTTGCTCTGGAGCCATCCTTCCTGAGCTAAGATAAAAATGTGTGAGCCGGAGGCTAAAAAACTGTGAGCTGGCTCACACAAACTCAGCTTAGAGGGAACACTGCTGGTGACCCCTGGAATATGATAAATGCCATTTCCTAAAATGGTACACAAAAGCAGCTAGATTCATTGCTATAAAAGAGGGGCTTACATGCAATAAAATATTTTTGGAAACCTCATTAAGCAAAGGACAGAAACGGAAAGATGCAGTTTGGTTTAAAAAACTGGGATTAAAATATGCTAATTAATAAATTCTGCTTCATGCAACCTGTACTGTCTTCCAGTCCATGACATCTGTTTCCTATAATAATTTTTTCTTTTTGTCTATAGGGTTTGCAAAGTCAGTTAATTAGATACTGTACAGGTATTGTTAGAACAAGAGCTGGTCTTCACTTGTGTTGAAATTGTTCACAAAACAGATGGAACAAGGCCCTTGTGTTTTCAAATTAGAGTTGTAATGAGCAATTTATTAAAGGAAACCCAAACATTTTTGAATTCTAAGTACTGGTCAGGCATCTGGAACCATTGCTAAATATATATTAATCTGTTACCAGATTTAGATGATGCTCTACTAAAATATGTGAGGAGGTGAAGGAGAGTTGGATTTTTACCCTGTCCTTCACTCTCCTTCCCTTCCTTTAAAAAAAAACCCTACAACAGACACCCTGTGAGGTAGATGGGGCTGAGAGAGCTCTGAGAGAACTGCTCTTGAGAGAACAGCTTTGAGAGAACTGTGACTGACCCAAGGTTACCCAGCTGGCTGCATGTGGAGGAGTGGGGAATCAAACCCAGTTCTTCAGATTAGAGTCTGCTGCTCTTAAGCACTACAACAAACTGGCTCTTGGGGATCTGAGGTTGTGCAGTTCCATAGTTTCTGTAGGGCCACCCCCCCCCCCAATAATATCTTCCAACCAGCTTTTATACATACAACTCCCTTAGGCTTCTGCTGGAGGTGTGGCTCCTTATTAACAGATTTTATGTTTTCTGGACATGTTCCAAGGTACAGGTTTTTCGCCTAAATGTTGCTGGGTCTGTAAGCAAAATACAAAGTTTTTGATCCTAGAAAATATAGGATCAGAAGCAGAGCTACTGCTCAATTAGCTGTAGCTGCCTATCCGATTTTTCTCTTCCTTTTGTCAGGAGATAGATTTGCATCTGGCCATCTGATCATAGAGCTTTTCCCCCATGCCAACCTTAACTAGAAGCTGAAAAAGCTGGTAAGAGATTTCTTCCCAGGAAAAAGAAAAAGCAGCCTCCTTTGACCCTGCATAAATCCCCAGTCACATGAGAGTCAGTCAAATGAGCTATGGAATATAATCTGTTGACCAAAAGCAATCCATGGGAAGTGCTACATCAAGTAGCCCTATAGTGGAATTTCTGTGCTGAATCATACAGTTTCTGGGTGCAAGCAGTCCTTTTTTGTTTTACAAAAAATAAAACAACCCAGTACAGATCACCCAGAGCACATCATTAATATCCTTGCTACTACCCACAGTTTTAAATAGCACTTAATTAACTTTATACAGAAAAAAGAGCCTTAAGTAGAAGTACAAGCAAACTAGCAAGTTGTTTAATGGTTTACTTTTTAAAAAGGCTATTTCCATTATCTTATAATGGGGTTTGTTTCTCCCGGGGGGGCATCTCCACAAGGGCCATTGGAAAGAAAGGTTTAGCACAGTGATCTGCCACCATTTAAACTTCATTTTTCCATTTCTTTGGGCAAGAGGTTGTGTTTCATTAGACACATTAGCTTTCCCTTAACTGTTGCAAACAATGGTCTGATGCAGTTTCTTCCCCAATATCAGCTTTCTTTACAGCAATTTCACAGTTTTACCTGAACACCCATTCACCCTAGGCTTTGTTAAAGCTTTGCAAAAATGAAGACACATTCACAATTCACTCAAGGTTCCCCCTGTCTTCTGGCATAAGACATTTAAATGGGGAGTATGTGTGGGCATAGTGATGTAGATGCAACATTTACTGAAATATAAAAACAGGTTGCTTACCTGTAACTGATGATCTTCGAGTGGTCATCTGTGCAGTCACACACTGGGTTCTGCGCCTACACTGAATTTCTTCAGGAAATTTTGTAGAGCTCCTATACAGCTCTCCTTTTGGTGGGCTTTTCCTGAGCTCTGGGGAGCAGGCATACACTGCATATACCTGGAGCTAAGGAAAACTCTGCCTCCCACTCAGTTCCTTCCACACACTGCCGGTAAGTCTCAGCAACATAAATCAATTGACAGAGAGATGCCAACAGTGGGGAAGGCTGGGTGGGCATGTGTGACTGCACAGATGACCACTCGAAGATCATTTGTTACAGTAAGCAACCTGCTTGTCTTCTTCGTGGTCTCTGTGCAGGCCACACACTGGGTGACTGACAAACTACCATCACTAGGACGGTGGGTGCTGGCAGCGTATGTAACCCCATAAGGTATATCCAGAGACAAGAAAGACACAGGAGAAACCAGAAAAAGGATAACAAAACATTTACTCCAGAAACTGTAGATCTGCAAACTACAGATATATACTGATGCACTTATAGACATCCTTCTTTCAAATTGTTTTTTTTTAAAACCAAAACGAAAGGAACAATAATTCGAATGGAAAATAGATTCAAGAACTGCCCTTCCAAAAGCGGCATACTTGCGGCCTTTCACATCCAGAGCATAGTGATGTGCAAAAGTCAGTGAAGATAACCAGGTAGCAGCTGCACAGATGTCTTCCAGTAACACCTGACAGGAAGGCAGAGGACACCACCACAGCTCTGGTGGAATGTGCCTTAGGTAAAGAAGGTAAGTTGACGCCAGCCAGTCGGTAACAGAAGGCAGTAGCTGTAGAAATTCATCTTGACAAATGTTGTGAAGAAACGGCTTTACCCTGCATACACTGGATGTCCTTCGGGCTCTCTGTTTTTACCTATCCAGAACTTTCATGTGTATGAACGCCGAGTAGATTGTTTTCTTGCATTCAGCAAAATATCCCTGACTTGTTGAGTAAACATCATGGCAGGATCCTCTGAGCAGTAAGTTTGAAAAAATGAGGGTCGGCATGGAGCACTTTGCCGTCCTCCTGGGACAGGAGATCTGGTCTGTTTGGGAGGTGGATGTACCAGCCGCATGACAGTTGCAGTAGAAGAGGAAACCATGGGCATGACAGTTGCAGTAGAAGAGGAAACCATGGCTGCCTTGCAAGATGTGCCATTGGCCACAATCTTCTGAAGGACCCTGAGAATCAGGGGAAATGACAGAGATCATGTAAAAGAAGTGGTGTAGAAATGCATCTCCCAGAGAACCATGAGTTGGAGGTCCCCTGGCATAGAAGAGGGAACACTTTGTGTTGAGTTTTGTGGTGAAAGCATCCAAGTCTGGATGACCAAACTTCTGGAAAACTGAGATGAGGTAAGCTGTGTTCAGCGACCATTCGTGCTCGACCGAGCACATCCACTTGAATGCTCAGAGGCCCTGGGGCATGAATCGCTGTTAGGGAGACCCGGTGGCGAATGCACCAAGTCCATAGAGTTACTGCTAAATTGCATAAGGCTGGTGAGGCCGTCCCCCCTTGCTTCTGGATGTAAAACATAGTGGCTACGTTGTCTGTGGCAATCTGAACTACCTTGCCTTCCACTATTGGTTTGAAAGAAATCAACGCCTTGCAGACGGCTAGAAGCTCCAGGAAGTTGAAGTGGGAGAGTCTCTGTAGTCACAGTCACAAAGAAGAGAGGGGGAGAACTGCTCACCATCATAGGCGCCTCGGGAGTAGGGACCTGCTGCTCTGCACCGCTCACAACAGGTCCTGCCCTTTTCCCGCTGGCTCGTCTTCTTCATTGCTACTCATGAGTAGCTCCTCCGCAGGAAATACATCTTGCAGCGCCTGTTGGAACTTCGACCGGGCCACACTCTTCCGTGCTGGGGTGTCCACCCGCTTCTTCTCTGGCTCCTTCCTGGGTACCGTCGGGGCTTCCCCTCCCAGGCAGGTGGCGGTGAAGCGACCCGCTTCGCCACATCTCAGGCACAAACCTTGCTTCATGCGCTGGTCCCGCAAGCCCTCTTTGGGTTTAGGGGTCTTGGGTTTGACCGCTGGCTTTCTGACCTTTCCCAGGGTGGCTGCGTTGTCTATGCGGATGGTCCTCAGGCGGTTCTCCGCGTCGGCCACTTCTCGCATCCAGGCATGGAGGGACACCAGTTGAACACTACGCAGGACTGTATTGCGAATCTCAGGGTGCAGACCTAGCTGGTACTGCTCAATCATCACGCCATCTGACAAGCCCTGGATCTTCATGGCTTGCTTTCTAAATGCCTCGGTGTATTCACGCACCATCTTCTTACCTTGCTTAAAGGTGCACAAGTAGGCACGCGCGTGTTCACTAGCATTCGGGTCCTCTTACTGCGCACGGAGAGCCCACATGAATTCGTCCACTCACTCGAGTTTGGGGCCCTCCAAATTATGAAGGCTCACATACCAGTCCACTGCCTTATCACAGAGACACGAGGCGATGTAGTCCACGCGCCTCTCTTTGGTGGAAAACAGATGGCCCCAGTTAGTGATAAACTTCTCATTCTTCTTTAATAGAGGCAACCAGTTCGTTCCAGCTGCCTTAAAAGTTTTTAAGGCCAAAGTGATCCCGCAGCTATTGTATGGCATCCCAATATGGATAAGTGCCCTTGAGATCAGACTTGAAAGCGTTCAATCCAAATTTGCAAGGAAAATCACAGGTCTGCCACGCTGCATTCCATACGCAGCTCTCTGTTTAGAAGCAGGCCTTGACATGATAGAAACAAGGGAATGGCTTATATCAATCAAATACCGGCCAAGTATGCACTACACTGCCGACAAGGGGAGCTACATATACCAAATGCTGTCTGAATCTACCTCGTCTAAATGGAATGCTTACATAGTGAAGAAAATAATTACAATGGGTCTATCCATGGATTCTCTGTATATGTTATCTTTCACAAATGCATATCAGTTAATTAAACGTAGAATCCTGGATATAGAAATGCAAAAACTAGTCAGCGATGCAAACAAAGCCTTCTCCCCCTTGAATTTCGGAATCCTTCCAACTATTGGCCATCTGCCTTCGTACTTATCAGCCCTTCACGCTCCACAATTGCGCCGAGCATTTGCACTTGCTAGATGCAGTACTCTTCCATCTGCTGTTACCTGTGGTAACATCTGCTTCCACTCGTTTCATCATGTCCCCACAGGACCTTTCCAGTAATTCCAAATGGAGGCCCACGAAATCCTCGTCTTCGCCCGGCCCACAATGCATTGGCTCTCCCTCCTGTCAGGGCTGCGGCCCGCGAGGTTGGTCATAGCGGCTCCCTCGGTGCGGCCCCAGAGTAAGCATCCACGTCTCCTGGGTGTCTGCCTTAAACTTGCCCCATCGCGGGCCATGGAGGGTCGTAGTCCCATGTGGCCTTATTCCCTCCACTGGCCCCAGTGGGAAAAGGTCCAACTCATCACCCAGGTCCTGAGGTAGGGTGCTCGGCACCGTGGGGGGGGGGGCTGTGGTCATCGGCACAGTCCCCTTGGTTGTCACTGGTACCTCCAAGGTGATCGGGATCGATGATGCTGATGAGGTCTGACATGGGAGTCTTGGTAAGGATGCAGCAATCCTGAGTAGAAGCCTCGAGCAGAATCTCCCCATTGTCCATAGAGCCTCAGTGAGCAATCGCTAGCAGAGCAAGGAGACTGAGAGTAGGAGCAGTCTCTGCTAGTGAAGCGACGCCTCTGAGCCAACGTCGAGGCACCTCAATCCTGTGTTGGAACTGGGCAGTCATCTGAATCAAGGAGCAGTGGGTGGGTTTGAATGCACAGAGGGAGATAGTATCGAGACCAGTTGGGCAGGCAAATCAACAGATAGGTTTGAAGAAGGAGTTGTGGGCACTACCGGGTTTGAGGAGGGAGCTGGTTCGGAGATAGCTGTCACTGTCGCTTTCGAGCCCAAGTGCTTTGATCTCTTCAACTTTGAAGGAGTTTGAGTGGATGAGGAAACGTGTTTCAATGCCTTACATGAAGTAGAAGCAAAGAGGGGTTAAAACCTGTTTTTTCTATCTGCAGGGGGGCTTTAAATACAGGGAAGCATTTAAAAAAATGTGATCTTCCACAATTCATCATCTGGCAGTCTGAAGTGGCACATTTCATTCTACCATCTTCAGGTCTCATTCCCCTGCATGGCTGTAAGCAAGGACAACACTGTTATATTCACACACAGCCACAGCAGCCTTACTCCCATCTGAATAAGGGCTATGGTACCAGGACAGTTTGTCCCTCCCCCTGCCAGATTGGAGAGGGGGGCACAGTAGCCTCAATGATAAAGATGACGTCCAGAGAACAAGTCAGATCTCTACATAGTATAGCTTGGTCCATTGTTTTTAACGAAGAAACAAAAATAGGGGGAATGGAGCCTGCCTAGGTGAGCCAGGCTCTTTGATTAAGTTTCTGAAATGAGAGTTGCCAGGGATGAAGCCTGCCTAGAAGATCCAGGCAGACCCCCGGGGATATGCAGCAAGGCAGCCAATATTGAGGTAAAGGATTTCAAGTGTACCAAGGGATGATGCTGAATATCTCATAACAGTTCAATTGTGCTTTTCTCTTTTGTGAATTCAACCCATTTCCATGGGTGGGTCCTCACACCAAATCTCTCCCCCCTTTACAATAAATGCACACAATGTAGCATTACTTTTACATAAAATGGGGCAAAGGAACAAATTAAGCAGTAAAAGGTAATTTAATGTGGTCCCTTATGCTGGACAGCTGCACAGGAATACCTGGCTCCTTCCCTGCACCCGCTGCCACTCAGGGGCCCTGAGCGGAATGGGAAGTCGTGGGGTCTTGCCAGTAAGTCAGGGGGCCTTGCCCCGAGATGCCCCACTGTAGCTACAGGCCTAATACTCACTGTTTCTCCCTGGCTGTGAATCGACCCACTTTTTTAAAGGAGTCCCCTTTGCAATTTTTGGGCAATATTAACACTTTTGTTTGTAGTAACACTTTTTGGTGTAGTGGTTTAGTGTAGTGGTTAAGAGCTCAGAGATTAAGATACTGAGCTGCAAACCAGAAGGTCTGTAGTTCAGCAGTTCGAGACCCCAGTGCCGTGTGACGGAGTGAGCTCCCGTCTCTGCCCCAGCTCCTGCCAACCTAGCAGTTCGAAAGCAAGAAATTGCAAGCAGATAAATAGGTACCACATCGGTGGGAAGGTAACAGCATTCCATGCACCTCGGCGTTTAGTCATGCTGGTCACATGGCCATGGAAACCTCTTCAGACAGTGCTGGCTCTTCAACCTGGAAACAGAGAAGAGCACTGCTCCCTAGAGTTGGATTTGATTGGTTTTCAAGAAAGGGAAACCTTTACCTTACTTTACTAAGAGCTGCTGGAGTGACCTTGGGTCAGGCACAGTTCTCTCAGAGCTCTCTCAGCCCCACCTACCTCACAGGGTGTCTGTTGTGGGGAGGGGAAGGGAAACGAGATTGTAAGCATTTCTGAGACCCAAAGTGAAGGGCAGGGTATAAATCCAATCTCTTCTTCTTGTTGTTATTAACACTGTTATTAAAAGTGTTAACACTTTTTTTGCATGTTACTATCATGGGACCTCATGATTTCGAATTTTGGTTTAGAGTTTGTTTGCCTAAAAGCGATGCTCGAACTGAGAAAAGATAGGAGTGGACTGGTGTAGTGTGCACGTGCGACGGTATGTAGAGAAAGAAAAAAAGTAGGCCGACGACGACCCCTGGAGTTGTCGAACAAGAAACCAACCTTCACTTTCCCACTCCCTCCCCCCAGTTATCTGGAACACAAAGGAGAGCCCTACTACTAAGGGGGGGGGAACACAATGGGAGGCATTCATAGGGCCTGCAAGAGAAGCAGAAAAACCAGCTAAGAACGGATCATGAGATAATCGACCAGAAGCGTTTGTTCTACCGTCGCCGGGGTAAAATAGCCTCCACCGGTTTTCAGTGGATTTCGGAGACATTTTGTTTTTAAAGGCATCCAATTCAAAGACTACGCTCTAAAATCCTTTATGCACCACACGCTGCAGAAGAGCCGCATCTTCCAGAACCACGATTCCCATGAAGCGAGCTGCAGCAAACGCTTCGGGTCCCACCCACCACAAACCTTCCGCAGCTTTAATACCATGCCTTCGGGGAGTCAGAAACCCGCATAAGGACGCCCACCTGACCCTACCGACTCGTCCGCGCACCACGGTCCACCAGCAACCCAAAGCAGAGCAGCCCGTTCTCGGAGCAGGAGGCGTGGCGCAAGTACAAGAAGCCGCCGCGCTTTATAGCCGGCCTGCTGGGAGTGGGCAGGGCTAGGATGAGCGAAGGCAGCGCGTAAGACCGGTTGTGCCGCTGCAAAAAGGAACGCATGTGCGTGTCCCCTTCCCTCTCTCGTTGGCCTCAGAGAGGGGTAGGTGGAAACAAAGAATTTTAGCTCCAAAATACCTGCCTTATACATGCATCTTCCCACCAAGGACTACAAACCCCACATCATTCCCACGGATACACAGATGAGACTTTCACCGCTGTTCATTCAACAGGTAGAACTCCTCGCCATCTCTTTCCCATGCTTACGCTGGGAAAGGCTTCCTCGCTGGATTCTCGTGTTCCAGAAACAAAGATGGCAACCAATGTTCCCTCTAAGCTGTGGAGTCTTGTGAGCAAAAATTCTACTTTGCGAGCTACTGGCATTAAAGTTGTGAGCGAGCGATTTGGCTGCTGCATAAATTAGTCTGCTCTGGAGCCATCCTTCCTGAGCTAAGACAAAAATGTGTGAGCCGGAGGCTAAAAATCTGTGAGCTAGCTCACACCAACTCAGCTTAGAGGGAACTATTGGCAACCATATCCCAAACTTGTTTTAACAGCGTGCACATGCTGGACTCGATTCCCGAATGAAAACTTGAGCTCCCGTGTTTCCCACCCCCGTCTGGTACTCTGCGTTTACGAGTTATATGACAGGGTGGGATGGTGAAGGTACCATTCAATATTGTATCTGCATACTGCAGGGAAAAAATGCCTGTTGGATTTCTGCCTGTTAACGGCAAGGGAGCTTTGCTAGGGAGAAACGGCAATTCCGCGTGAAAACACAAGACTCCTGTATTCATTACTGGCACGACTAACCATGTTAAAGTAGGTGTGTCGTGTTCAGTATCTTCCGACGCGCTTTATGCTACAGCTATAAACTCATCTGTAGCATCTCCAATTTAAATTATCCCGAACCAGGAGCTGTGTTTCTAGTGCTCTCTCCCAGTACTTTTCAAGAGTTCGGAACAGAAACCAGGGATATTTTCTGTTTGCCATAGCATAGTATAATTGACGGAATCTCCACTCCAACAATTTTTTAACCCAGGTTAGAATGCAAGCTGGCAGCTGCTCATCGGCGCTGTGACCCTTATCTTATCTCGAACTACAATTCCCAGAAGGCTATGTACGCAAGACTCTTTCTGTGCTTGTTTCCTGCTCTGTGTTTTTCCGGTGCTTCCCAGAAGCGCGCGTGAATATGGACTTGGGAGCGTTCGAACGGGACAATTCGGTGAACTGTTTGCTGGAGTCAGCGGTGCCTTCCATTTGTCGGACCGAGCCCTGTAGCCTCGGCATTGATGAGGCAGGCAGGGGCCCGGTTTTAGGTAGGGGCTTGCTTATAGTGAAGGAATGGGAGAATCGTTGGGGCATTTTTTAGATATCGAGGAGCCCCAAAGCAGCAAAACGATCGCCCCACTTGTGAATCCTTCTTATTGTGCTTTCTTATTATACAGGACAGTGTATGAATTTCCCTGGGTGGCCTTGGGACGGATCCTCCTTCTCAAAGTTGCTCATCTTTAAAATGGCAGTGGTAGTGAATAACCTGTGGTGATGTTTGTGAGCATGAGTTAAAAAGCAATTGCAAAGAGATTAAAAATGTCAGGAATATAATAGTCACCAGTCTGGTTTTGTGCCTTAATCTTGCCATGCCAATATGTGTGATTTATCCCACCCTGATTTCTGTCTTGCCTCTCCCTTGTAGGACAGCCAACATTTAGGGGAAAATGACCTGCCCCTTTAATAGAAATTTAGCGTGTGGAAATAGGCATCTGAATTTTTTCTTGATATGGAAGTAAATAACCTGGTATGTATCATCCCATTAAGTGTCTGTTAAAGAGACAGGGCATTTTTCTCCAGCCCTAGTTGGCAGCTGTGCCCCAAGCCTTTCTCTTACATTTTTTATTTAATTAAAAGTTTTCTAGATAAAGCAAAGATTTAAAAAAATCTAAACACAAAAAATGAATTACGACAGTTTCTTAGGAAGCTATACCTGTAAACCAATAAACAGAATTGTTAATCTGTTGATAAGTAAATCATATTAAAATATGGCACTATGTATAGAACCATAATTTTACATTAAAACAGGGGGGGGAGCCTTTAAGGCAATTGAGGTTTCCCATTCCTGGCAACAGTATCTGTGAGGGGGGAAAAATCACTCTAAAGTAGGCCTAACAATACCAGGACTTCTATTATCATGTGACAAGAATGATGACTATTTTTGCAAATTTATCAAGACAATGGTCAACCTTTCATGTAAATGAAAACTTCTCTATCAGTGCTTCATACCACACTATTTGTCCCCAGGACCCAACACAAAGGCTTGTAGTTGTTTTTTTCCCCTAGCAAATTTCTGAACTTACAGTAAAAACAAGGAAGAATATAAGTTTTTTTTAACGATAGATTTGGATCTGAGATGATATTCTATCTAGTCATCTTCCTTATTACCTGTATCTTGCTGACTCCCAACCTCTGAATCTGTCAAAGAGGGCTCAGGTGAAGGTGCTATGATCACTGCTAGAGAAGGAGAATCTTTGATGACAGAACCCCTGTTGAAAAGTCATTTTTGTGCTATTGCTGTAATAATATTATTTTGTGCATTGAGAGTGTTTAAGGTCTCCCACACATATTATGTAGTGATTTTAGAGAAAATCTGTAAGGTGGGCCAGAATTATCTGTATGCTGTAGCTGGGAAACTGAGACTGAGTGGGTTTTCTTTTCTTCACAGGTCCTATGGTATATGGAATATGTTACTGTTCTATGGCCCAGCAGGGAGTTCTAGAGACCCTGAAAGTTGCAGGTAAAAAAGGAAGTGCTTGGCTGGGATTGTAATAGAGTGGTAGCAAAGTATGAGGTGAGATCTGGACAGGAATTGCTTCTGCTTCCACTGAGGAAGAGTTTCTACTGAACATAGCCTCATTTCACGTCTTCTGAGCCCCATGTCTCTGAGCTTGTTTTCCCCTGCTTCTTTCTCCTTTTCAGACTCCAAGACACTGACAGAGGCTCAGCGGGAGCAACTCTTTGAGCAACTGAATGCAACCAAGGATTATGTCGGTTGGGCCCTGCATATCCTCTCCCCCAACTTTATCTCTACTAGCATGCAGCAGCGGTGAGCAGGGTGGGGATAAAGCAGTCTGGCCATTAGAAAGAATAAGTAACTACTGTGTGCAGTCACATGAATGTTTCCCCCCCAAGCAACAGAGTGTTGGGCCTGTTCTGTATCTGCCTGGAAATGGATCCCAGGTAGATCAGGTTCCAGAACAGACGACTGCAGTGGTCAATTGGCATAGGTTGCATCTAATAACAAACAAATAATGTGAGCCGCCCTGAGCCTGCTTGCAGGGCGGGCGGGCTAGAAATATGACAAATAAATAAATATGTTGTTAGGGGAACAGGGGGAGAGGATTATTGGGCTTTTGTGCTTCCTCTACCCTCTCCCTTCATGGGCAATTTGATAATGAAACTCTTCTGCTTTCACAGAAAACCATATTGTGTGGTTACATCCACATCACAAACTATTATTTGTTTTGCTTTTAGCAGTTTGTGAAAGAGAACATGTAAGCTTGAGGCTCCTGCATGCTCATTCCTGTAATGAGAAAACATGTCACTGTACTGGTGACCACCTTGCTAGCTTAACAGTGCAGTCCTAAGCAGAGTTACACCCTTTGAAAATCCATTGATGTTAATGGTTTTAGACAAAGATAATGCAGTTTAGGATCACATTGCAATTACCTGCCCTTTGGGGCCATTGTGAAATATTGCCAATGTGGTGTGTCTTGTCATGTGTAGTCTCGGTGGACAGTCTGTATCTGAGAACAGAACAGAGAAGGAACCTGGAGAGCTGAGGCCTCCCATCATATTCTGGTGATTATCAGAAAGTCTAGATGGCTCTCAGGGCTGAACGTACTTAAATGACAGGCAGGTTGGCTGCAATGTTCCCTCTAAGCTATGGAGTCTTGTGAGCAAAAATTCTACTTTGTGAGCGACTGGCATTAAAGTTGTGAGCATGCAACTTGGCTGCTGCATCGATTAGTTTGCTCTGGAGCCATCCTTCCTGAGCTAAGACAGAAATGTGTGAGCCAGAGGCTAAAAAACTGTGAGCTAACTCACACTAACTCAGCTTAGAGGGAACACTGGTTGGCTGTATGTTTCCCTTCAGCTCCTTCATGCCCCTTCATTATTCAGACCTGTGCTTACTGATGTACATTCTGCTTTCCTCTGTCAACTGGCTATGGGACATAACATACCTCCAACCATCATGTAATTGCCAAGGGTGTGGAATTTGAATACTTACTGCTCTGCCGTGCACACTGTAAAGCTGCTGCTGAAGTGGATTGGGAAGGTGGCTTCCAGTTTCTGCTTGGGACAACCAGGTCCTGATATAAGTTCCGTCTCCTTTTCCAGCATCCCTTTTTGATAATTAAAGTCTGTGAGTTAGTGCTGCTTCCTTCTCCTTGCAGAGCGAAGTACAACCTGAACGCTCTTTCACATGACACAGCCATTGGCCTGATCCAGCATGCATTGGACTTGGGGGTACAGGTTGCAGAGGTGAGATACCCCAGCACGTACATACCTGTGAAAAGCAGCAAGAATATTTCATCTAAACGCAACAGGTTTCCTTCCTCCTTCAGGTCTTCGTGGATACAGTGGGGCCAGCAGAGAAGTACCAAGAGAAGCTAAAACGCCAGTTCCCAGGACTGGAGGTCACCGTGAGAGCCAAGGCAGACTCCCTCTTCCCCGTTGTCAGTGCAGCCAGCATCTGTGCCAAGGTGAGTGCCAGGCTTGGGACACCTTTGTTCTCAGCTTGGGGATTTGAAAAGGTGCTCTGCCTGATCGTGAAACTGACGTTGCTCAGTTAGCCATAACAGCTAAGCTAAGCTTCATGCCCAGAGACAGAATACCTGTAAATACTAGAGGATGGCTGTTGTCATCATCATGTTGGGATCCCAAGCATCGAGAATAACTCCACGTTTTAAAGCAAGATTTTATTTCAAAGCATTGGAAGATACTCAAACACGTTCTTTGTTAGAACTGACTACAAACGGTTAGGGCAAGCATAAGAACATAAGAACATAAGAGACGCCAATGTTGGATCAGGCCAAAGGCCCATCCAGTCCAACACTCTGTGTCACACAGTGGCCAGAAATACCAGTGCCATCAGGAGGTCCAGCAGTGGGGCCAGGACATTAGAAGCCCTCCCACTGTTGACCCCCCCCAAGCACCAAGAAGACAGAGCATCACTTGCCCCAGAGCCCCTAGCTATACCTTGTGGCTAATAGCCACTGATGGACCTCTGCTCCATATGCTTATCTAATTCCCTTTTGAAGCCATCCATGCTTGTAGCACCCACCACTTCCTGTGGCAGTGAATTCCAAGTGTTAATCACTCTTTGGGTGAAGAAGTACTTCCTTTTATCCATTCTAACCCGACCGCTCTGCAGTTTCATGGAGTGCCCACGAGTTCTTGTATTGTGAGAAAGGGAGAAAAGTACCTCTTTCTTTACCTGCTCTTTCCCATGCATAATCTTATAAACCTCGATCATGTCACCCCTCAGTCGTCTTTTCTCCAAGCTAAAGAGCCCTAAGCGCTTTAACCTTTCCTCATAGGGAAAGTGTTCCAACCCTTTTATCATTCGAGTTGCCCTTTTCTGCACTTTTTCCAAAGCTATAATATCCTTTTTAAGGTGTGGTGCCCAGAACTGCACACAGTATTCCAAATGAGGTCTCACCATTGATTTATATAGGGGCATTATTATATTGGCTGATCTGTTTTCAATACCCTTCCTAATAATCCCCAGCATAGCATTGGCCTTCTTTATTGCAGTCACACACTGTCTCGACATTTTCAGTGAGTTATCCACTACAACTCCAAGATCTCTCTCTTGCTCAGTCTCTGCCAGTTCAGACCCCATCAATGTGTATTTATATTTAGGATTTTTGGCTCCAATGTGCATCACCTTGCACTTGGCCACATTGAACCCCATTTGCCATGTTGACGCCCACTCGCCCATCCTTGACAGATCCCCTTGGAGTGCCTCACAATCCTCACTGGTTTTCACCACCCTGAACAACTTTGTATCATCCGCAAATTTAGCCACTTCACTGCTTACTCCCATCTCCAAATCATTAATGAACAAGTTAAAAAGCAGTGGACCAAGTACTGATCCCTGCGGTACCCCACTGCTTACCACCCTCCACTGAGAAAATTGCCCACCTACACTCACTCTCTGTTTTCTATGAACTAGCCAGTTTTTGATCCATAAAAGGACTTGTCCTTCTATCCCATGATTTTTGAGCTTACTTAGGAGCCTTTGATGAGGAACTTTATCAAAAGCTTTCTGGAAGTCAAGGTAAATAATATCTATTGGATCCCCCTTGTCCACATGTTTGTTCACCCCCTCAAAGAACACTAACAGGTTAGTGAGACAAGATCTTCCCTTACAGAAACCGTGCTGAGTCTGCCTCAATAGGTTTTGTTCATCTATGTGCCTACTAATTCTTTCCTTAATAATGGTTTCCACCAATTTACCCGGTATCGACGTCAGACTGACTGGCCTGTAATTTCCCGGATCTCCTCTGGAACCCTTTTTAAAGATGGGAGTGACATTAGCTACCTTCCAATCCTCAGGAATGGAGGCAGATTTTAAGGAAAGATTACATATCTTTGTCAGGAGATCTACAAGTTCACATTTGAGTTCTTTCAGAACTCTCGGATGTATGCCATCTGGGCCTGGTGATTTTTCAGTTTTTAAGTTGTCTATCAGTTTTAGGACCTCCTCTCTCATCACCTCAATCTGACTCAGGTCTTCCAACACCCCTCCTGAAATCAGTGGTTCTGGAGTGGGCAAGCACTTCTCATCTTCCACAGTGAAGACGGAGGCAAAAAATGCATTTAGCTTCTCAGCCATTTCCCTATCATCCTTCAATACTCCTTTTACCCCTTGGTCGTCCAAGGGCCCCACTGCCTCCCTGGCTGGTTTCCTGTTTCTAATGTATTTGAAGAAAGTTTTATTGTTGGTTTTTACGTTTTTTGCTATATGCTCCTCATATTCCCTTTTTGCCTGCCTGACCTCAGACTTGCATTTTATTTGCCATAGCCTGTGTTCCGTTTTATCAGCCTCACTGTGACTAGCTTTCCACTGCTTAAAGGAATTCTTTTTACTTTTTACAGCCTCCATTACTCTGTTTGTTAACCATGCAGGCTTTTTCCTATACCTGTTTGTGCCTTTCCTAACCTGCGGAATATATATTTTTTGAGCTTCTAGGATCGTAGTTTTAAATAGATCCCAAGCTTCCCCAATTGTTTTGACCCTTTCTACTTTTCCTTTCAGTTTCCTCCCCACGTGTCCCCTCATATCAGAGAAATTACCCCTTTTAAAGTTAAAAATGGTTGTGTGAGTCTTTTTGGCCAATTCTCTATTTGTACAAATGATGAACTCAACAACATTATGATCACTGTTTCCAAGCGGTGCAATCACTTTTACATCTCTCACCAGGTCTTGAGTGTTACTTAGGACCAAATCAAGGATCGCCTCTCCCCTGGTAGGTTCCGTGACCATCTGCTCCATAGCACAGTCATTTAGAGTGTCTAGAAACTCAATCTCTTTTTCCCGACTAGAACACATATTGACCCAATCAATGTGTGGGTAGTTAAAATCACCTATTATTACACAGTGTTTTTGTCTAGTTGCTATCTTTAAGGCATTCATCATTTTATAATCCTCCTCTATCTTTTGATCTGGTGGGCGATAACAAACTCCCAGTGTTAAGTTTCCTTTTGGCCCCCCTATTTCAACCCATAGAACTTCCAGAAGCGAATCCAATTCACTTAGCCTCTCAATCTTTCTAGACTTTATACCCTCTCTGACATACAGAGCTACCCCACCTCCAACCCTTCCCCCCCTATCCTTCCGATATAATATATAACCGGGAATCACTGTGTCCCACTGATTTTCCTCATCCCACCAAGTTTCAGAAATACCCACAATGTCTATTTTTCCCTCCGACACCAAGCACTCCAACTCCCCGATTTTACCTCGGACACTTCTAGCATTTGTATAGAAACAGCTGTAATTTCCCTTACAAGTTAAGCCTGCATCCTTCCTCTTGCTATCTCGAGTCGTTGTCCGGCAGTCCATGTCACCAGCCATGGCCTCTGTGGACAATTTCAATCCACCTCCCTGTAGAAAAGCAACCGGTACCCCCTCACCTCTCTCAGATGAGCCAACCCGAACCAGAGACTTTTCATCTCCTGTCGGCTTTCCCCCAATATTCAGTTTAAAAGCTGCTCTGCCACCTTTTTGATTTTAAGTGCCAGCAGCCTGGTTCCTTCTCGGGACAAGTGGAGACCGTCTCGCCTGTACAGCTCCCTCTTGTTCCAAAAAGTATCCCAGTGCCTAACAAACCTGAACCCTTCCCCCCTACACCATCGTCTCATCCACGCATTGAGACTCCTGATCTCTGCCTGTCTCTCCGGCCCTGCGCGTGGAACAGGTAACACTTCTGAGAAGGCTACCTTGGAGGTCCTGGACCTAAGTTTCCTGCCCAGCAGCCTAAATTTCTCCTCCAGGACCTCACGACTGCATTTCCCCACATCGTTGGTGCCGACATGCACCACGACCACTGGCTCCTCCCCAGCACTATCTACCAGCCTATCTAAAACACGCGTAATGTCCGCTACCTTCGCACCAGGCAGGCAAGTCACCATACGGTCAGTACGCGGGTTCGCCACCCAGCTGTCTACCTGCCTAAGGATCGAATCACCCACTACCAAGAGCCCCCCTCCCACCCTGCTCAGGGATGGTTCCTTGGTGCAAAAGGAGAGCCGCTCACCAGCTGGGGAAGAGGTCCCTTCTGAGGGCACATTCCCCTTATCCTCAGCATGGTGCCCTGTTTCCCCTAGACCCTCATGCTCCCTGACAGCAGCGGGGCTGCCAGATCCAGAGTGGGACGAAGCTAACAAGTCCCCGAGAGTCTTTTCTGTGTGCCTAGCTGACTGTCTCTGCTTCTCCAGGTCAGCCACCTTGGCCTCAAGGGAGCACACACGTTCCCTGAGAACCAGGAGCTCCTTGCACCGAGGACACACCCAAGACTTCTGCCCAGTGGGCAGATAGTCATACATGTGACACTCCGTGCAAAACACTGGATAGCCCCCAACCCCCTGCTGGCATTCTGGCTTCATAATTCTTTTAAAATAAATAAATATAATCCCCCTTTTAAACCCTTGGTATTTATGTGGGTTTTGTTATCAAGTCAAATTATTTTACGGGAAAGACAAAGAGCCTAGGGCCTTGTCTTTCTGGCTCTTTTTGGGCTTCTTACAGCGCCCCTAGTCTAAGAGTCCCTAGGCTAAGAGCCACAGGCAAAGAGCCCTTTAGCTCACCCTTCGGCTCGTGCCAGAGGCTCGTGCCTCTGCCAAGGTGCTTCCTTAAATAGAGGCCTCCCCCAGCAGAGGTCAGGCAGCAGCTATTCAAATTCAAATTCACCCAGGCACTCAATCACAGGCAAAACAATGCCCCTTCCACTTCCTCTCAATTACAGGCAATCCCAGTCAAACAATGCCCGTTCCTCTCCCACACTCAATCAGCCAGGACTCTGCAAGAACTCTAAGTGCTTCCACACACTGCTAAACACAGTTTTCCCACAAAATATCCTTAGCTGAATTCTCTCAGCTGAAAGCAAGTAAAAGAAACCCACTCACCTCTCTCACAGCTCTCTCTCCTGCTCCTGCTCAGAGCTCAGCTGGTCTCCTCTGCCTCTGGCAAGGTGCTTCCTTAAATAGAGGCCTCCCCCAGCAGAGGTCAGGCAGCAGCTATTCAAATTCAAATTCACCCAGGCACTCAATCACAGGCAAAACAATGCCCCTTCCACTTCCTCTCAATTACAGGCAATCCCAGTCAAACAATGCCCGTTCCTCTCCCACACTCAATCAGCCAGGACTCTGCAAGAACTCTAAGTGCTTCCACACACTGCTAAACACAGTTTTCCCACAAAATATCCTTAGCTGAATTCTCTCAGCTGAAAGCAAGTAAAAGAAACCCACTCACCTCTCTCACAGCTCTCTCTCCTGCTCCTGCTCAGAGCTCAGCTGGTCTCCTCTGCCTCTGGCAAGGTGCTTCCTTAAATAGAGGCCTCCCCCAGCAGAGGTCAGGCAGCAGCTATTCAAATTCAAATTCACCCAGGCACTCAATCACAGGCAAAACAATGCCCCTTCCACTTCCTCTCAATTACAGGCAATCCCAGTCAAACAATGCCCGTTCCTCTCCCACACTCAATCAGCCAGGACTCTGCAAGAACTCTAAGTGCTTCCACACACTGCTAAACACAGTTTTCCCACAAAATATCCTTAGCTGAATTCTCTCAGCTGAAAGCAAGTAAAAGAAACCCACTCACCTCTCTCACAGCTCTCTCTCCTGCTCCTGCTCAGAGCTCAGCTGGTCTCCTCTGCCTCTGGCAAGGTGCTTCCTTAAATAGAGGCCTCCCCCAGCAGAGGTCAGGCAGCAGCTATTCAAATTCAAATTCACCCAGGCACTCAATCACAGGCAAAACAATGCCCCTTCCACTTCCTCTCAATTACAGGCAATCCCAGTCAAACAATGCCCGTTCCTCTCCCACACTCAATCAGCCAGGACTCTGCAAGAACTCTAAGTGCTTCCACACACTGCTAAACACAGTTTTCCCACAAAATATCCTTAGCTGAATTCTCTCAGCTGAAAGCAAGTAAAAGAAACCCACTCACCTCTCTCACAGCTCTCTCTCCTGCTCCTGCTCAGAGCTCAGCTGGTCTCCTCTGCCTCTGGCAAGGTGCTTCCTTAAATAGAGGCCTCCCCCAGCAGAGGTCAGGCAGCAGCTATTCAAATTCAAATTCACCCAGGCACTCAATCACAGGCAAAACAATGCCCCTTCCACTTCCTCTCAATTACAGGCAATCCCAGTCAAACAATGCCCGTTCCTCTCCCACACTCAATCAGCCAGGACTCTGCAAGAACTCTAAGTGCTTCCACACACTGCTAAACACAGTTTTCCCACAAAATATCCTTAGCTGAATTCTCTCAGCTGAAAGCAAGTAAAAGAAACCCACTCACCTCTCTCACAGCTCTCTCTCCTGCTCCTGCTCAGAGCTCAGCTGGTCTCCTCTGCCTCTGGCAAGGTGCTTCCTTAAATAGAGGCCTCCCCCAGCAGAGGTCAGGCAGCAGCTATTCAAATTCAAATTCACCCAGGCACTCAATCACAGGCAAAACAATGCCCCTTCCACTTCCTCTCAATTACAGGCAATCCCAGTCAAACAATGCCCGTTCCTCTCCCACACTCAATCAGCCAGGACTCTGCAAGAACTCTAAGTGCTTCCACACACTGCTAAACACAGTTTTCCCACAAAATATCCTTAGCTGAATTCTCTCAGCTGAAAGCAAGTAAAAGAAACCCACTCACCTCTCTCACAGCTCTCTCTCCTGCTCCTGCTCAGAGCTCAGCTGGTCTCCTCTGCCTCTGGCAAGGTGCTTCCTTAAATAGAGGCCTCCCCCAGCAGAGGTCAGGCAGCAGCTATTCGTGAGCAACTGTACAAAGACAGAAGTAACACAGAACACCATGGCAGCTTGCTGACACATCATCAGTTTTCCACAGGTATCTAGAAGCTAGCCCCGATGGAGACAGAAAACTGGACTGTGATGGTCTGATTCAGGAAGCTGGTTTGAGAGAGTAGCCGCGTTAGTCTGTGGTAGAACAGCTCGATTCAAGTCTAGTAGAACCTTGGAGACCAACAAGATATTTTGGGTATAAGCTTTTAAGAGTTGAAGCTCTGATGAAGGGAGCGTTGACTCTTGAAAGCTTATACTCCAAAAAATTTTGTTGGTCTCTAAGGAGCTACTAGACTTGAATCTAGCTGATTCAGGAAGATAATTCTTATGGTCTTATTTCTCACGTTCTGCAGGTGGCAAGGGACAGGGCTGTAAAAAACTGGAAATTTGTGGAGGATCTGGAAGATGCTGTATTGGATTATGGCTCTGGCTATCCCAATGGTAACCTTCAGTCTTTCTGTTTAGCTGGGGAAGGGGTAAATTGTTGTCTTGGCTGTAGCTGTTTTGTTATACTTCTATTCTTGGGTTAAGGGTTTTTTAAAGCATAATATAGGCCCTTTTCACTGCATGCTATCAGCTGCTAAATATTCTCCGCGGCTGTCCATCAGCCCTGTTGATGTGGGTGGCTCTTCTGCCCATTGCTCTGCTCCCACGGAAATGCCCTGAGTTGACTCCTTTATCTCAGCACAGCACTTCCTGTCCCTGAAGCTTAGATGGGGTTCAAGGAGGACATAAAGTGATGTGTAAGAAATACAAACGAAGCAAATGCAAGAACTTGGGGACATCTGCTACCCCCATAGCACTATTTCCCTCCCAGGGATGACAAAAGGAACCTAAGAATCTTGACTGAGACCTGCTCTTGGAAGCAAGGATGTCCGTGAGTGCTAATGTCCCAGAATCCCAAGCTATCTATCTCCCCCCCCCCCTTTCAGATCCCAAGACTAAAGAGTGGCTCGCACAAAGTCTGGACCCTGTCTTTGGTTACCCACAATTTGTACGATTCAGCTGGAGTACTGCTCAGACCATCTTGGAGAACAAAGCTGTGCCTGTTCACTGGTAGGTGGGGAGGCAAGAAGGATGGGGCTTTGGAGTAGTTAATGCAGCTTTGGGTTGGAGGGTGAAGAGACCCTGAAGCTTGCCTTTCAGAGATAGTTTTGCAGATGTTCTGCAAGGCAGCCATTTGAATCTGGGAGCTACAGGGCAGAAAATGTGTGACACAACGGTGTCCTCAGTGTGACTGGCAGTGAGTAAACAGAGAGGCAGGAAAAAAACTGGTGGCCAGAAATTGACTGGTTGAAAGTTTTCGGTTCTGTTTAAGTGGAGGAGCTGGGAGGAATAGAAGGGAAGAATGATTTAAGACACACAGCAGACCTGCTCACCTGTGAGATTCCTTTCCTTCAATTAAGCCAGCATGGTATAGTGGGTAAAGTTTCTGTCTCGGATCTGGGAGACCCAGGTTTGAAGGAGAAGAGAAGGAAGAGATTGGATTTACACCCCGCCCTTCACTACCCAAAGGTGTCTCAGAGCGGCTTACAAACTCCTTTCCCTTCCCCTCCCCACACCTGTGAGGTAGGTGGGGCTGAGAGAGCTCTTGACAGAAACTGCTCTTTTTCAAGAACAGCTCTTATCAGAACTATGGCTTGCCCAAGGTCATCCAGCCAGGTGCAAGTGGAGGAGTGGGGAATCAAGCCCGGTTTTCCCAGATTAGAGTCCGCACAATTCACCACTACACCAAACTGGCTCTTTGAATCTTTGCTTCACTGTGGAAGCTTGCTGGGTGACCTTGGACTAGTCACACACAGTCTAACCTCCCTCACAAGTTTTCTCTCTCTTC